TAGGGCTTGGGGTTGTGCTATTTCTCCTACTACTACTATCACAACTACTGCTGCTACTACTACTCGTATAGGCTTTAGGGTTTGGAGTTTAGGTTTCTGCTTCTTCTTCTACTACTACTACTACTATCACTACTACTGCTGGTATTACTACTAGCATTGGGTTTAGGGTTGGGGTTTAGGGTTCTGCAACTTCTTGTACTACTACTAGCACTACGACTGCTGCTATTACTACTAGTATGGTTTCGCTGAACCTCTCCGAAACTCGCCGAAACTTGCCGAGACTATAGCCGAAACTCACGGAAACTCGCACTCGCCGAAACTGCTTGAGACTCACGGAAACTCGCTGAAACTCGCCGAAACTGATTAAACCCGCCGAAACTCGCAGAAACTTGCTGAAACTCGCTGAAAATCGCAGGAATCTCGCTGAAACTTGCAAACTCGCCGAAACTGCTTGAAACTCACGGAAACTCACCGAAACTCGCTGAAAACCGCCGAAGCTCATTGAAACTCGCTGAAAAACTCGCTGTAAACTCGCCGAAACTCGCTGAACCTCGCCGAAACTCGCTGAAATTCGCTGAAACCCGCTGAAACTCGCCGAAACTGGCTGAAAGCCGCTGAACCTCGTCGAAACTCGCTGAAACCACCAGTGCCACCAGTGCCACCAGCAGGCCCATTTAGGGTTTAGGGCCAAATTTCCTGGATTTTGGGGTGGGCGTTCTGGGTGACAAATTCAGTTCATACAATTGCGTTTTTATTAGGCCGGAGGGCCGATCTCGAGGTCCCCCCCCATTCTGGGCCTAAACTACAAACGTAACTGGTGCCTGACCGCGGAAAACCCAAAAAAACTCAAAAAACTCGGGCCCCCCAGCGCCACCAGTGCCACCAGCAGGCCCATTTAGGGTTTAGGGCCAAATTTCCTGGATTTTGGGGTGGGCGTTCTGGGTAACAAATTTTGTTCATAAAATAGCGTCTTTAATTAGGCCGGAGGGCCGATCTCGAGGTCCCCCTCGTTCTGGGCTTAAACTACAAACGGAACTGGTGCCTGACCGCGGAAAACCAAAAAAAAACTCAAAAAAACTCGGGCCCCCCAGTGCCACCAGTGCCACCAGCAGGCCCATTTAGGGTTTAGGGCCAAATTTCCTGGATTTTGGGGTGGGCGTTCTGGGTGACAAATTCTGTTCATAAAATTGCGTTTTCATTAGGCCGGAGGGCCGATCTCGAGGTTCCCCTCATTCTGGGCTTAAACTACAAACGGAACTGGTGCCTGACCGCGGAAAACCAAAAAAAAACTCAAAAAAACTCGGGCCCACCAGTGCCACCAGTGCCACCAGCAGGCCCATTGAGGGTTTAGGGCCAAATTTCCTGGATTTTGGGGTGGGCATTCTGGGTGACAAATTCTGTTCATAATTTGGCTTTAAGTTTAGCAACCCCCCATTCAAGGTTCATTAATAGAGTTTTTCCAAACCCTATGGTTTAGCAAACCCCCATTCAAGGTTTATTAAACCCTAATTTAAGGTTTAGCAAACCCTATGGTTTAGCAAACACCCATTCAGGGTTTATTAACTAATTTAGGGTTTAGCAAACCCTATGGTTTAGCAAACCCCCATTCAAGGTTTATTAAACCCTAATTCAGGGTTTAGCAAACCCTAGGGTTTAGCAAACACCCATTCAGGGTTTATTAACTAATTTAGGGTTTAGCAAACCCTAGGGTTTAGCAAACCCCCATTCAGGGTTTATCAATTCTTAATTTAAGGTTTAGCAAACCCTAGGGTTTATTTAGGGTTTAGCAACCCTAGAGTTTAGCAAACCCCCATTCAGGGTTTATTAAACCCTAATTTGGGGTTTAGCAAACCCCCATGCAAGGTTTATTAACAGGGTTTAGCAAACCCTAGGGTTTAGCAAACCCGCCGAAACTCATTGAACTCGCTAATACTCGCTTATTTCCATTCTTTCTAGCATTTCCCAAATTTTGCTGCTGGGCCAGGAAAATTCAAAAAAACCTGCAAATTCAAAAAAACTCAAAAAAACCCCCCAGTTTAATATTCTCAAAAACGCACCCCGCACACGAAGCAAGCTCAATAAACCCCTAAACCCTAAACCCTAAACCCTAAACCCTAAACCCTAAACCCTAAACCCTAAACCCTAAACCCTAAACCCTAAACCCTAAACCCTAAACCCTAAACCCTAAACCGAAACCCTAAACCCTAAACCTAAACCTAAACCCTAAACCCTAAACCTAAACCATACTAAACCTAAAAACCCGAACCCCCTAAACCCGAAAACCCCTAAAACCCTAAACCCTAAACCCTCAAGTCCCCATAAATTGAGCTTTATGTGCTACACCGTGCGTGGTAGTCCATTACATTCTTTTCAAATTGAAGCAAATACACTTAAAATATCCTTGGATATGCATAGCCGCTTACACAAGTTGTTGCAATCGAGTTTAAGTAAATTGAATTAAATATTCCGCCACCACCACCACGAAAATGCAATCGAGTTTACGTAAATTGAACCAAATCTACAAATACCAATACTAATACGAGATTTAGGGTATAGAATATTGAACTTAGGTCACCTTTTTCCCTGTTTTCTTATTCTCTTATTCCGCTATTTTCGTTATTCCCCTGTTTCCCTATTTCCCTATGTCCTAATTTCCTTATTTCCCTATTTCCTTATTTTGTCGGGAAGCTAAAAAAAGGAAAACCCAAAACAAACACAGCCTTTGAGAGGGCAGGCAAAGCCCCCTCTGTGGGTTGGTGAAGTTCCTCTTGGAAGGATCTGACAGGGCTGTACTGGGTTGTATTGGGCGGCCCAGACCCTTGCTAGCCTCTGAAAGGACAGGCAAGGCCGCCCCCCCCGCCCCCCCCGCCCCCAGCCCCCTGCTTTTTCTTTCCGCCCCCCCGGCCGAACCCGCCCCCCCCCGGCCACCCCACCCTACCCCCCCCCACCCAGTCCGCCCCCCTAAACCCAAAAAATAAACCCAAACACCTTCTTAGAGCTTCTATGATTGGCCTACAACGTGCGTGACTGAACGACATACATTGCACCCATGTTCTGCTAATCCTTCGCCACTGAACGACATATGTCGTATGTGCTGCTGACCCGTCCCCCCCCGCCACTGAACGACGTATGTCGCACATCACATGTGGGACACATGTCGAAATAAATGTGGTCACGCAAAACAGACCGACACATGTCGCGCACATGTCAAGTTGAAAAAGGGTTCAAAGAAAGTTTAACCGAACCGCTGTCGCACATGCGTCAACTGCTTCATTTAACTGATCTCCAATGACCGAGACAAATGAAGTAAACGCCCCACAAAACACATGCCGACACAGGTGCGACATATGTCCAACAAAAATTTTCGGTTCAGGCAAGCCCGCATTGATTTTAAAAGGGTTCAAAGCCATTTCGGATTGTTTTGAAGGGTTTTTCACACTAGCCTTGCACTTTCTAACCCTCCGCCACGGAACGAGTTTTGTCGCACAGAGGTTCTGCTAACCCCCCCATATGTCGCACATGTGTTCTGCTAACCCCCCGCCACTGAACGACATATGTCGCGCATATGTTCCGCTAACCCACCCACTGAACGACATATGTCGCACATATGTTCTGCCACCCCCTTTCCGAGCCTCTCCGAGGAGGTCTTCTGGGACGGGCCTTTCTCGGGGCAGCGGGCAGGGGGAATTGAACCAGGGACCTTTTCGGTTGAGAGTTGGGGAAGCTTTTTGCAAACAAGACTCAGCAAGATTCCGCCAGAAGCCAGAGCCCAGGACCCAGCGTGCAAGACCCACCGCGCAGCACTCAACGCCGACGCAAGATCCACCCAAGACCAGGATCCAGGAGCCAACCGAAACCCACCAAGACCCACCCAACACCCAACCCTGCAGGACCCAGAAACGCAGCACCAGCAGGACCTAGGACTCACCTCCCAGACTCATCAAAAGCTACGGCCCCGAATCCAAGTGATGGCAGGCCGCAACCGCAACGCAAAGGACCTTGGATGCCCCGAAAGTCCTGCCAACCCACCAACACCAAAAGCCTTTCAGAAAGGGCTCTACAAAGCTCCGTCAACAGAAAATACGACGAGTCACTGCCCTGTCCGATGTCCTCTGCAACCGCCCCTCGGACCCAGGACCCGAGGCACACCACCCGACCCAACCGCCCAAAGACCCCGCCCCGAAGGCTCTCCGGAGCCCTTCTCCGCACAGCGCACCGCAACCAAAAAAGTCAACAGAAAACCGCCGAGCAATCCACCTCTTGAACTCCCGACGAAAGCGAAAGTTCGCCCCTGAAGACCCGACTCCAAGGTTCCCCAAGAACGCCTCCAAAGGGCCCGCCCCACCCCCAGAGCAAGGATCCAAAGCCAAGCCGCGACCCGGACCCAGATTCCCAACGCCCCCGATAGCCTAGTGGTTAAGCGGGCGGCCTTCGAATCGAGACTGCAGGGGACCGCCCCGGGGGCACCCCCGGGGCGGGATTAGTTCTCCCACTTCCGTCGGTGCCCTTTGAAGCGGAAGTGCCCTCTCTAGTATATAGTAGCTATTGTTTATACGTTATCGCTTTCAATATAATGCTCTGATTATTTATATCCAAATATTGCTAATTGTTCGGCTAACTTCGCAGACTCGGAAAGGTTCGGGGCTCAATCCCCAAAGGTGTCATTTGGTTCCTCCCCCATACCCCAAACCCTAAGTACTCCAGGCTTCAAATCCACCAACCACAAGTGTCAACCCCGAGTACAAACATTCAATACTCAAAGTCTTGTATACCAAGTACCTCAAATCCCAAGTACACCAAATTCTCAGTAGCCGCGCTGCAGCCCTAGCAATGCAATCACTTTGTATTTCCTCGTAGATTTGGAGCTCAAGACAGCATACACAACACTATTTCCGACAAGTCTTCAGAGCACGACACATACGATCAAAGTTGAGAGACTTCACATTGACAAGCTTGTGCACTACTTAGGAGCTTGAGCAGATTTGGCCAGAGTTGATGCCATGCCGCGTTTTTGCGCAGGCTTCGCAGATCCTTCCGGCGGTGAGTCTGCACCGTGCATCTTCGCCAAGGATGGATCTGGCAAGCCTGCGCGGGTGAAGCCACCTCGAGACCGTTGCGAGCTGTGCGACTTCGAGGGCTTGGGAAAGGTACTCCGCAGCGACCGCAGAAAAAGGAAGATCGCTGATGTGCTGGACAAATGGGAAGCATCGTGCTCACCAGTACTGAAGCACGTGTTCGTGGCCAGTGCGCTTTCTATCGTGGGGCCAGAGTTCTTCGCCAAGAAGAAGAAAAAGATGACCAGGTTCAAGCAGCGCTTCCAGAAGCAGCTATATCGGGACCAACTGCGCAAGGAAATGGCGCAGCCGTGGACCCCATCGTATCCGATCCTATACGAAAGGTTTCCGAAAGAGCGGGTGGCAAATTGGCGCGGATGGTATCTCCCTTCCGGGCTACACCTGAGCTTCCAAAACTTGCTGCGCATTGGTTTGCACAAAACGCCGGTCTGGGAAGTGGATGGTATCAAAGCCGTCAAAGAAGGTTTGATCACCGAGAAGCTCCCGCCCGAGTTCATTCGCCGCCGGCAGCTGATCTTCAGGAGCTGGTACTGGAGTTTCTCCGAACGATGTCGCTTCTGCAAGGGAGAATTGCGGGGTGCTGGGGTGGGATACTGTCCGAAGCGGAGTTGCAAGCGAAGGCGCGACAAGAAGCTCCAAGCACTGCATGCACAGCGACAAAAACTTGAGAGGTGGATGATCAGGAAGCACATGAAAATACGCGGCCTCAGCACGGAAGCGAAGTCTTTGGAATCCAACCTGCACAAGATTCGATATGGATGGCACCTGGGCATTGTCGGCATTCTTCGAGACCACACATTCCGACGCATGTATGGCTGCTTTCAGCATGTGCTCACTTGTCCTGAGTCGCAGTTCTACAACTTCGCACAGATTAGGCCATTACACGACTTGCAACGCAGCATTCATCACCAACGTGTTTGGATGTGTCACATGCCTCTCTTCCATGGCCCAATACCTCTCGGCTTCTACTTTCTCGTGAAAGAGCCAGAAATTTACGCGCACTGTGAACGGCCTCGTGACAAAGACGGAGACATCGAGGCCATTCGTGATTGGCAGATTGGTCAGCCCGGGCTACATCACGACGTTTGCTGCTCGCAGATTAGTTTGACGTGGCGATTCACGCTGGAACGCTTCTGGTTGAGTGGGTATCCAAAGTCGCTCCTGCAGAGCGATACATGGGGCCCTTTCTTCAAGGACAGTCGAAGAAGACAATGGGAAATCAATTTTCATGTCGCAGGAGACTTCCTGGTTGATGCCCGACCACTGGCTGCGGAGCGGCCAGACTGTGTCGAATGGCCTCGGCCAGAACTCGACCGCGAAAGAATGGCGTATCACCGCAGTTGCCAAAACTTGGCGAATCGCCAACGGCGCAAACCACAGCCTGCAAGCAGGTGCGTGGGCCCTTTCGGCTTGTGTCCTCCAGTCTAGAGGACCACGTCCTGCGAGTCCCGCAGTACAGTTCGCACAGATGCTGTGACTCGCATGAAAACCTGCGCCAGCACCGAACTCAAACACCAAATTCGCCACTAAATATCACAAACTCCGAATCCCTTCCAAGCAGCACCTTAACGCCACGCCCCAGCCCATGCACCAACAAAAAATCAGAGAACCCTAAAATCAAGCAGAAAAGCTATTTAGCGTTAAGGGCCAATTTTTTTCTGGATTTTGGAGTGGGCGTTTTGGGTGACAAATTCTGTTCATAGAATAGCGTTTTTATTAGGCCGGAGAGCCGATCTCGAGGTCCCCCCCATTCTGGGCTTAAAATACAAACGGAACTGGTGCAGATTCGGGCTTAAACCATAAACGGTTAGGGTTTAGCGTTTAAAGCCGAGGCTCCTGGATTTTGGGGTGGGTGTTTTGGGTGACAAATTCTGTTCATAGAATAGCGTTTTTATTAGGCCGGATGGCCGATCTCGAGGTCCCCCCCATTCTGGGCTTAAAATACAAACGGAACTGGTGCAGATTCGGGCCTAGACCATAAGCGTTTAGGGTTTAGCGTTTAAAACTAAATTTCCTGGATTTTGGGGTGGGTGTTTTGGGTGACAAATTCTGTTCATAGAATAGCGTTTTTATTAGGCCGGAGGGCCGATCTCGAGGTCCCCCCCGTTCTGGGCTTAAAATACAAACGGAACTGGTGCAGATTCGGGCCTAGACCATAAACGTTTAGGGTTTAACGTTTAAAGCCAAATTTCCTGGATTTTGGGGTGGGCGTTTTGGGTGACAAGTTCTGTTCATAGAATAGCGTTTTTATTAGGCCGGAGAGCCGATCTCGAGGTCCCCCCCACTCTGGGCCTCAACTACAAACGGAACTGGTGCCGCATGACCGCGGAAAACACAAAAAAAAATTAAAAAAAACTCAAAAAAGCTCGGGCCCACCAGTGCCACCAGTGCCACCAGCAGGCCCACCTAGGGTTTAGGGCCAAATTTCCTGGATTTTGGGGTGGGCGTTCTGGGTGACAAATTCTGTTCATAAAATAGCGTTTTTATTAGGCCGGAGGGCCCGATCTCGAGGTCCCTCCCCATTCTGGGCCTAAACTACAAACGGAACTGGTGCCTGACCGCGGAAAACCAAAAAAAAAATTCAGAAAAACTCAAAAAAACTCGCGCCCACCAGTGCCACCAGTGCCAGCAGCAGGCCCATTTAGGGTTTAGGGCCAAATTTCCTGGATTTTGGGGTGGGCGTTCTGGGTGACAAATTCTGTTCATAAAATAGCGTTTTTATTAGGCCGGAGGGCCGATCTCGAGGTCCCCCCCATTCTGGGCCTAAAATACAAACGGAACTGGTGCAGATTCGGACCTAAACCATAAACGTTTAGGGTTTAGCGTTTAAAGCCAAATTTCCTGGATTTTGGGGTGGGTGTTTTGGGTGACAAATTCTGTTCATAAAATAGCGTTTTTATTAGGCCAGGGGGCCAATCTCGAGGTCCCCCCCATTCTGGGCCTAAACTACAAACGAAACTGGTGCCTGACCGCGGAAAACAAAAAAAAACTCAAAAAAACTTGTGCCACCAGTGCCACCAGCACGCCCATTTAGGGTTTAGAGCCAAATTTCCTGGATTTTGGTGTAGGCGTTCTGGGTAACAAATTCTGTTCATAAAATAGCGTTTTTATTAGGCCGGAGGGCCGATCTGGAGGTCCCCCCCATTCTGGGCTTAAACTACAAACGGAACTGCTGCCTGACCGCGGAAAACAAAAAAATCAGAAAAACTAAAAAAAACTCAAAAAAACTCGGGCCCACCAGTGCCACCAGTGCCACCAGCAGGCCCATCTAGGGTTTAGGGCCAAATTTCCTGGATTTTGGGGTGGGCGTTCTGGGTGACAAATTCTGTTCATAAAATAGCGTTTTTATTAGGCCGGAGGGCCGATCTCGAGGTCCCTCCCATTCTGGGCTTAAACTACAAACGGAACTGGTGCCTGATTGCGGAAAACCAAAAAAAACTCAAAAAAACTCAAAAAAACTCGCGCCCACCAGTGCCACCAGCAGGCCCATTTAGGGTTTAGGGCTAAATTTCCTGGATTTTGGGGTGGGCGTTCTGGGTGACAAATTCTGTTCATAAAATAGCGTTTTTATTAGGCCGGATGGCCGATCTCGAGGTCCCCCCCATTCGGGGCCTAAAATACAAACGGAACTGGTGCAGATTCGGGCCTAAACCATAAACGTGTAGGGTTTAGCGTTTAAAGCCAAATTTCCTGGATTTTGGGGTGGGTGTTTTGGGTGACAAGTTCTGTTCATAAAACAGCGTTTTTATTAGGCCGGAGGGCCGATCTCGAGGTCCCCCCCATTCTGGGCTTAAACTACAAACGAAACTGGTGCCTGACCGCGGAAAACCACAAAAAACTCAAAAAAACTCAGAAAAACTCGGGCCCACCAGTGCCACCAGCAGGCCTATCTAGGGTTTAGGGCCAAATTTCCTGGATTTTGGGGTGGGCGTTCTGGGTGACAAATTCTGTTCATAAAATAGCGTTTTTATTAGGCCGGAGGGCCGATCTCGAGGTCCCCCCCATTCTGGGCTTAAAATACAAACGGAATTGGTGTGCCCAGATCGGGAAAAAGAACCCAAAAAAACTCAAAAAAAACTTTTGGCCGGAAAAGACATGCAGCCGGGCACCTTTTGTTGTAAAGGTTTCGGTTGTTGTTCAAAAAAAAAAAGCGGGGACCCCGCACACGAATAGTTAAAGCTCAATAAACCTTAATCCTAAAACCCTTAACCCTAAACCCTTAAACCCTAAACCCTAAAAACCTAAAACCCTAAACCATAACCCTAAACCCCTAAACCCTACAAAAAACCCTAAAACCACTAAAACCCTAAACCTAAACCCCTAAACCCTCAAAGTCACCATAAATTGAGCTTATGTGCTACACGTGCGTGGTATTCCATATATTCTTTCAAAATTGATTAGCAAAATACAGTAAAAGATCCTGTGGATATGCATAAGCTCTCTTACTTGCTTACACAAGTTGTTGCAATCGAGTTTAAGTAAATTGAATTAAATATTCCTCCACCACCACCACCAAAATGCAATCGAGTTTACGTAAATTGAACCAAATCTACAAATACCAATACTAATACGAGATTTAGGGTATAGAATATTGAACTTAGGTCACCCTTTTCCCTGTTTTCTTATTCTCTTATTCCGCTATTTTCGTTATTCCCCTGTTTCCCTATTTCCCTATGTCCTAATTTCCTTATTTCCCTATTTCCTTATTTTGTCGTGAAACTAAAAAAAGGAAAACCCAAAACAAACACAGCCTTTGAGAGGGCAGGCAAAGCCCCCTCTGTGGGTTGGTGAAGTTCCTCTTGGAAGGATCTGACAGGGCTGTACTGGGTTGTATTGGGCGGCCCAGACCCTTGCTAGCCTCTGAAAGGACAGGCAAGGCCGCCCCCCCCGCCCCCCCCGCCCCCAGCCCCCTGCTTTTTCTTTGTTTTTCCCTAATCTCTGCCGTGCCCCGCCCCCCGGCCACCCCACCCTCCCCCCCCACCCAGTCCGCCCCCCTAAACCCAAAAAATAAACCCAAACACCTTCTTAGAGCTTCTATGATTGGCCAAAATTTCTAGAATGTTGAAAACCCTCAATCGATTTTTTCTCACGATGCATGTGTGGGTTTGGGTTTAGGCATTAAGGTTTTGAGGGTTTGAGATTTAGACATTAGGGTTTGAGGCAACGCAAAACGAAAAGTATTAAACAATAATCTATTTGGGCTTTTTCTTTTGTTAGAAACAACAGCCCCCCTACACACTTTTTTGTTTTGGTGTTCATGTTGTTTTAGTGCTACCATTTTTGGGTGTTTAAGTGTTATAATATGGTATATGGTTGGGTTTGTAAATTTGGGGTTTGAGTTTGGGTGTCAGGAAAACTCAAAAGAACCTCCAAATTCAAAAAAACTAAAAAAAACCCACCAGTTTAGGATTCTCAAAAACGCGCCCCGCACACGAAGCAAGCTCACGAGCTGGTGCCTGACCGCGGAAAACCAAAAAAAACTCAAAAAAACTCGGGCCCACCAGTGCCACCAGTGCCACCAGCAGGCCCATTTAGGGTTTAGGGCCAAATTTCCTGGATTTTGGGGTAGGCGTTCTGGGTGACAAATTCTGTTCATAAAATAGCGTTTTTATTAGGCCGGAGGGCTGATCTCGAGGTCCCCCCCATTCTGGGCCTCAACTACAAACGGAACTGGTGCCTGACCGCGGAAAACCAAAAAAAACTCAAAAAAACTCGGGCCCACCAGTGCCACCAGCAGGCCCATTTCAGGTTTAGGGCCAAATTTCCTGGATTTTGGGGTGGGCGTTCTGGGGGACAAATTCTGTTCATAAAATAGCGTTTTTATTAGGCCGGTGGGCCGATCTCGAGGCCCCCCCCATTCTGGGCCTCAACTACGAACGGAACTGGTGCCTGACCGCGGAAAACACAAAAAAAACTCAAAAAAACTCGGGCCCACCAGTGCCACCAGTGCCACCAGCAGGCCCATCTAGGGTTTAAAGCCAAATTTCCTGGATTTTGGGGTGGGCGTTTTGGGTGACAAATTCTGTTCATAGAATAACGTTTTTATTAGGCCGGTGGGCCGATCTCGAAGTCCCCCCATTCTGGGCTTAAACTACAAACGGAACTGGTGCTTGACCGCGGAAAACACAAAAAAAACTAAAAGAAACTCGGGCCCACCAGTGCCACCAGCAGGCCCATGTAGGGTTTAGTGCCAAATTTCCTGGATTTTGGGGTGGGCGTTCTGGTTGACAAATTCTGTTCATAAAATAGCGTTTTTATTAGGCCGATGGGCCGATCTCGAGGTCCCCCCCATTCTGGGCCTAAACTACAAACGGAACTGGTGCTTGATCGCGGAAAACCCAAAAAAACTCAAAAAAACTCGGGCCCACCAGTGCCACCAGCAGGCCCATGTAGGGTTTAGGGACAAATTTCCTGGATTTTGGGGTGGG